TGATTTGATGAATATAATGGACGTAACGCCTGACACGTGAGTATCCATAGGCTGAACGTCTTCAACTTCGACCAATGACAACTCGAAAAAAACTTTACATATGCATTCATGCATACACACATATATACTGGATAAACTGTAAATACATACATACTTACATGTACATATATATACAGTATATACATAAAAATAGATATTTACACACACACAGATACATATATATGCATTTAAACACGCACACACACACATGTATATATATATATATATATATATATATGTATGTATGTATATATATGCATTTAAGCACACATATATTTACATACATACCGACACCTAGACATCGCACATAAATATGCATACATATTTACACACACACACACACATATGCTCACAAACACACGCGCACACACACACACACACACACATATATATATATATATATATATATATATATGTGTGTGTGTGTGTGTGTGCGTGTGCGTGTGTGTGTATGTGTGTGTGTGTGCGAGTGTTTGTGTATGTGTTTGTATTTAGACACACATACACTTAATACATATATATATGCATTTAAACACACACACACACAGATATATGTATATAATATACATTTACACATATTTTTTTACTTACATACTCCCCCTATCCAGACATCGCGCACAAATATGCATACATACGTGTATATATGTATATATATAAAAATGTGTGTGTGTATCTAAACACACACACACACACACACACACACATATAACATACATATACATATATTTTTACATACATACCCCCATCCTTGCATCGCGCATAAATATGCGTACGTAATTAATATATATATATATATATATATATATATATATATATATATATATAAGATTGATGTATAAATGCACACACACACACACACATATTATATATGTAGACACACACACACACACATATTATATATGTAGACACACACACACACACACTATGTATATAAATATAAGACCATTTTGTAGCATACCGCAACCACCCACACTTTGATACATTGTTTCATGTTGTATCATGGTCGTGTCCAGTGACCGTCATAAATGACTTCAAATTTTACTCATACATGTTTTAATATATGGCTGAAAAAGTAAAGAAACATTTCATGTATCTTTACAATTATTATTATTTTATCAAGAAAATTACGATACTATTCGCAATTAATGAAAATATAAATCCTTATCTAATACTATGTGAAATATATATGAAAGATACCGCGTTCTTATTAGCTGTCCGGAGTGTATCACACTGTATCAAGGAAAATGCAACCAATAATGTGCGCGTAATGGACAAACATGTATCTAAGTGTCTCAAAGTGTTAGGGTTTCGGAAATGCTACAAAAAAGCCCTATATAAATAAATGTATATGTACAAGTCTCATATATGTAATATGTATGTGTACAGGCATAAATGCATGTATCTTTCATCAGAAATTTAGGCATATACTTGTGTACATTGATATGTACGTACGTACATGAAAGTATAAATATGCGTGCGTAAGCACACACGAGCAAACACATATGCGCAATCAAACACAGGTATACCTATACACGCACCAACACGCACGTATGGGCGCACACGTACACTTCCTAAAGTAAAAAGTAAAATGCTATGCAGTATTATAACAAAAAAATGCCACGCGTATTGAAAATAAATGATGGTATCGAAATCCCGTAATAAATTTAAATGATGCATTTCACATGGCTAAGATAGCCTATCCCTAGACCTGTGAAAGCAACAGTGGATCGCGGCGCCCACGCAAAAAAGCCATAAATCATGACGAAGGTTTGCGATGAAAACCGCCGCGACCTTGGCATTCAGGAGGACGCACAGCTAGGAACCTCAAGCTGACCCGGATGAAGTGGGAGGGGATGGGGAGGAAAGGAAGGCGGTGAGGCGACAAAGAGGGCAGTGGGGAGAGAGTGAGGCGGGTGGGTAGAAACAGAAAAAAAAACTGAAGGGCAAGAAGCGCACTTTTTTCGGGTGTAAGAGTAGAGGTGTGACGTCACTTAGCTCGCGATATAAGTACGTTCGATTCGCCTGCGTGGTCAGTTGTGTCAACCAAGTCTTCAGAATGAACACTAAGGTGTGTGACCATTCAGTGTAAGAGTGGCGTATAATGCATAACTGAGTAATTTTTAAGGCTTGTTTTACTATCACGTGACGTTCTTGCAGGTCCTTTTCTTGCTCGGCGTGGTGGCTGTGGCTGCTGCGGATAAGCTGCCGACCTACTCCTACAGCGCCCCACAGGTGAGTATTGGTGATAAGGAAGCCCGATATTTTTTGTTAGGAAACTTGCAAAATAGTTATTTATTTCATGATCCAGTGAATGTTTGTGCTATTAACATTGATCTTGATAGCACAGTATTAGTATAACATTAATACTGATTGTTGATTGAATGTGAAATGTGTATATTTCAGGGATCTTTCGAGGATTCAGTGGAGTATGATGACGCCAAGTACGACTTCAACTGGGCTGTGAAGGACGACTACTCCGGTAACGACTTCGGCCACCAGGAGTCCCGCGACGGCGACAACACTCAGGGATCGTACTACGTGCAGCTCCCCGACGGTCGCCTGCAGAAGGTGACGTACTACGTGGACGGCGACAATGGATACGTTGCTGACGTGACGTACGAGGGCGAGGCTCGCTATGACTCGGTGGAGTCTCGCGAATACGTCCCCCCCAGGCCCGTGTACTCCGCCCCCGAGTCCCAGGAGTCAGTTGAGACTCCCGTGTACACCCCACCACGACCCCAGTATGCCGCCCCCAGGCGCTCTTACGGCTTCCCCCAGTAAGAAGAACAATGAAGGCCGATGACCAATTACATCGAATAGAAAATATCTATTTATTTATGGACATTAATCACATTAAAAGCTGAATCAAGTACTTTATTTATTTTAACTTCCTATGAATGTGACTAAACATAAAGAAAAAAGAAGTCTCAGAAGTGTATCACCCTATTGTTTCATTCTATTAATAGCGTTCCATTCATAATTAACTGTATCTATTTTCTTTCTATATCTACTCACGTGAATAGATATCCATTCATGTTTTAATACCATTACATACATACACATATACGGACACATGTATGTATGCATAAGAAACTACATGTAGTTCATTCTTTCTCTGGCCCGTTACACTACAACTTTGTTCTATTGACCTATTTCCTGGAGAAAACTTTTTCACCTTCCCATTAAGTAAGATTTTTCTAGTTCCAGTGCATCTCTTGGTCTACAGACATTTTTCAAATGGACTTAGAAACCAGGGGTATTTAATATATTTCAAGGATCTTTCAAGGGTTTAGTGGTTTATGGCGAATTGTGTGTTGACTTTGTTATATGTGTATCTATATATATATGCATATGTATATGTATATCTATCTATATAAATATACACATTCACTTTTATAGAAATCTAAGGAATTTCATGGCAACCTGTTGAAGAATTAATGTATACTAAAATACTACTCTTAATTTCATTAAGTAAAGGTCATATGACGATACAAAACAGGTTTGTCCACCATGTAGTGATCCCATGTACTATTGGCCTTGTTTGTCGTAGTGCCTTCACAAGCATGGAATTACACGAGGTTGTTTCGCCGATATCACCTTCAAGAAAATCTCCAAATTTGTTGCACAAAATGGTCAACAGAAATGTCCTGGCTGTGTGTTAACAACATATCTATATAAAGTTTCTACTCTGAAATAAAAAGGATTTTCTGTATCTCAATTTCCCATTTTCTTATATTAGATAATCATAAGCGACATATCAGTTGCTTCTTCTCAATGTGGACGGTATGTCACTAGTTATCTACCTGAACTGCAGCTTTCCATTTCGGTCAGATTAATTTATAATACTCTCAGTTCTGTTGTGATGAGCTAAAGCTTACCGTACCATGCCTAAATAAAGAGAAAATTGCAAACGGAGAGAGCCCGGAACATGAGTATATATATATATATATTCTGTAAAAAAGTGCTGGTGGCAGAGAATTGGGCAAAAACGTCATGAAAGAGGGATTGGGGTTGTCCTTATTTCCAACAAAGGGAACAAAACTATTGTGATTTAAAAACTGTGTATCAAATGGGGTTTAATGATTATAAAAGAACACATTCTAAGCTATATGACATTGTTAATACAAACATATGTATATATATATACATATACACACACATACATATGTATACATCCATATAAATAACTGCATACATACAACACAGACACTCACACACACACACACACATACATATATATATACATACATACATATATAAACATGCATGTACATTTATACATATATTTTTATATACATTTAAATACACACACATATATATGTATTCATGTATATATCTATATGTAGATGTATATATAAATAAATATACATGTATATGCACATCTACATATACGTACATATATGCATGCAAATATGTATATATATACATACATTTTTTATATGCGGTTGAATAAATGTATCTGTTTATGTGTGTATGTATACATATATAGATAATATATCTGTATATGTATATATACAAAATTGTATATATATACATATGTGAATATGTGTACATATACATATATATATATTGTATATATACACACTTATATATGTATATATATGAATATATGATACATATATGTAAAATATATACATACATATATATATTTTTTATATACATATACATTTGTCTATCTCACTATATGTTTTGTATAAATATATAGATAGAGAGAGAGACAGACAGAGAAAAATAATAAATACACAAAATATATATATAGTTATATATTTATATACTTCTGTATATGCATATATGTGCGTAATTGATGTAATAAGATACCCGTACATGTATATAAGAGAAATTGACAATAACAGCCAAACCAGAACGATTTTGGAGGAAGTAGAAAAACAAAAAGGCAGGCATGTAGGTCAGTACTGGTGAGCGGGTCATCTCGAAGGCAATCCAGGGAGGGGCTATCCTGTGACGTCATTAGACTGCGCATAAAAGCGAGCGTTCCAGACAGGGAGCCACAGTCAACAACAGAAGCGGATTCAACATGAACGGAAAGGTAATACCAACCTTTCGTTTAAAAGTCAGTTCTTCAGAGATTTCAATGCGGGTGTTAGAATTTTGCATTGTTGATCGTTGTTAGAATGTGATTTTGAAAAGTCATGAAATAAGTACATTTGTATTTCTTCTTACTAAGATGCTGTTCTCTTTACCAGGTACTAATTGCATTGGCTTTGGTCGCCGTGACTGCCGCCGATAAGCTCCCAGCTTACTCTTACTCTGCACCACAGGTTTGTGTCTAGTTCAGACTCACTGAAATATATTTGACGAGTACATAGTCATTTTCTCCAGAGACAAATAGCATTTTATGGAAGGCAAACATGGTTAGGCTATGTATACTTAGAAGTGTAAAGTATCAGTCCTTCGATGAAAGTATGGCTGAAAGTACAGCTAATGATTTTACTTTAAATTGTTTATAACCCCTAGTCAACATATTTTCAACAGCAAAGACTTTAGAACGGCTCACGTGAAATGATTTTTCTAAAACTCTTTGTATCTCTGAAGGGATCTTTCGAAGACTCAGTGGAGTATGATGATGCCAAGTACGACTTCAACTGGGCTGTGAAGGACGACGACTCCGGTAACGACTTCGGCCACCAGGAGTCCCGCGACGGCGACAACACTCAGGGATCATACTACGTGCAGCTTCCCGACGGCCGCCTGCAGAAGGTGACGTACTACGTGGACGGCGACAACGGATACGTTGCCGACGTGACGTACGAGGGCGAGGCTCGCTATGACTCGGTGGAGTCTCGCGAATACGTTCCCCCCAGGCCCGTGTACTCCGTCCCCGAGTCCGACGAGTCGGTTGAGACTCCCGTGTACACCCCACCACGACCCCAGTATGCCGCCCCCAGGCGCTCTTACGGCTTCCCTCAGTGAAGAATGATAACCAAAGCTGATAACCAGTTGCGTCGAACGGAATGTAACTATTTATTTATGGACATTATTTGCAATAAAACAAGACTCTACTGTTTGCATTTATATTTTACCATCGACGGATGTTCCTATAAATAAAACTATTGATGATCCCAAAGAGATCAAGCAAGACTGAGCGGAAGTTAAACAGGAAACCTTACATAGTCATCTGTAATTTCATGAAACAGGTTATATTTCTCTCGTATTTATCTATGGATGTGGAAACCATCCGCAGGCCACAGACATACTAACACCAACACATTACTTATGTACAAGTTCACACTGTGAATTTCAGTAAGTTAAACTCTTGATTGATGAACAGCATGATTATTATTCAAGCATAATCTTTAAGTACTTTCGGATATGAATATTCTCATGTATACACATGTCAAGTGTGTACAATAAAAATAAAAGTAGGAGTTTGATGCCATCGGATGTCAAAATATCTAGTTAGAAATAATAATAAACGAAAAAGAAAAGTAATAAGTAAAGATTATCAAAAAGATACCCATATAGTATTTATAAAGACATACAGACATATATGTGTGTGTGCGCGCACACATATATACACATATGTTCAACTCTTCCCCCCCACTCAAATACACATGAATTCACACACACACATATACATATATACATACACTTATATATACACATACATTTATATGTATATATATATTCTAGGAATAATGACCGGAAAACAAGAAGTGAATAAAACCATTCATTTCTCAAGATATACATAAATAGATAAATAGATATATGTACACATACAGGCATACCTATATATATGTACATATATATTTATATTTATATATATATAGAAATATAGGGAAATTTATATATACACATACACATACATTTATACATATATATGTCTGTATGTATATATGTATATATATATTTATTTATCTATTCCTATAACATTATATATAGGTATGCATATATGTGTGTGAGCACACATACATTTATAAACACACATGTTCACATCTTCCCCGCACTTACATATATATATACACATTCACACAAACACATACACTTATATAAATACATTTATATACATATATGCATTTCTATATAAACATATAGAAATAAAAAGATAAATGAATATATATATATATATACAAACATACATCCCTATACATATATATTTATTTACATGCATAGATATTTATACATATAGAAATAAAAGGATAAAAAAATAAATATATATACACATATATATACGCATATCTATATATAATAAAAATATTTATGCCAGACACACACACACATATATATGTATATATATAACAGACACATATGTATACATATATAGGGAAATACATATATATATACATACACATACATTTATACATATATATGTATGTATGTATATATGTATATAAATAGGTAAGTATATATGTGTGTGAGCACACATACATTTATAAACACACATGTTCACATCTTCCCCGCACTTACATATATATATATATATATACACTCATACACAAACACATACACCTATACAAATACATTTATATATATATGCATTTCTATATAAACATATAGAAATAAAAAGATAAATGAATATATATATACATATATACAAACATACATACCTATACATATATATTTATTTACATGCATATATATTTATACATATAGAAATAATAATAATAAAAAAAAAATATATATACACGTATATATACGCATATCTATATATAATAAAAATATTTATGCCAGACACACACACACACACATATATACATATATAACATATGTATACATACATATATCTATATATACTCACATACACATGTCTGTATGTATAGATGTATATGTATATGTACATTCACATATGTGTATGTACATATACATGTATATGAACATACGTACATACATATATATACACATACATATATATATATACATATATGTATACATATATATATACATATACATATATGTACATATATATACATATATATACACATTCATATATATATACATACATATATTTATATACAACTGTATAGAGAGTGTGTAGATATATAGTTATGTGTGTATTTATATCTTTAGGTATATCATTTGTTTAGTGCAAAATATAAGCACTATATATGTATTTGTGTGTGTATGTGTTTAGATATACATGTATGTGTTTATATAATTTATTTGTATGTTAGCATGTGTATGTGTAGACGTATACGGGCACATAAGCATACATTGAGACATGGACGCGCAAGTACACTTTCGAAACACTGTATGAGAAACAGAAGGGCTTAAGAAATAAAAATAATTAGATACAACAAAACTAATAATACCTCAGTCAAAGAGGAGTGTACATTTAATGAAAGCATTTAACATTGCTTAAATTCACAAAATATATTCTGGAACAGTGACGAATCTCGAGGAAAAAGAAAAAAAATCAGGGTTTTGTTAGGAATCAGCCTTGGCCTTGGTATTCAAACACGCATAGGTAGCTGATATGGCCTAACTGGTGAAGGGGGCCGGAAGAGGGTGTAAAGAGGGAAGGGGAAGAGGGAAGGTAAGAAAGGGATAGTGAGAGAAAGAGAGAATGGAGAAAGAAAAGAAGGTAAACATAACAAAACAATAACAAAAAAGGCAACGCAGTAAAAAATTAAAGAAAGAAAAAAAATGAAGGTCGAGAAGCGCAAGGTTTTTTCCGGATGTAACATAGAAGAGTGACGTCACGAGGCTCGTAATATAAGTACACTCGATTGCCTTCCTTGGTCAGTTGTGTGTGAACCAAGTCTTCAGAATGAACACTAAGGTGTGTGGCCGTTTGATCTGAGAGTCGTGCATAATGCAAATATTCATATAATTATTTCAGACTTAAAAATCTTGCGTTATTATAATACTATGTGTCTGCAGGTCTTGTTCTTGCTCGGTGTGGTGGCTGTGGCTGCTGCAGATAAGCTGCCGACCTACTCCTACAGCGCCCCACAGGTAAATGGTGTTGGACACGGAACATACGCTATCGGTATACTCCACAAGGCATAATTCCTTTCAAGACTTCCAGTGAATATGTATTGGTAATCATGTTCCTTTTGAAAGTACTGTAGCGTTATAGGATTTATATGAAGTGTTGATTGTAAAGTGTGTACATTTCAGGGATCTTTCGAAGACTCAGTGGAGTATGATGATGCCAAGTACGACTTCAACTGGGCAGTGAAGGACGACGACTCCGGTAACGACTTCGGCCACCAGGAGTCCCGCGACGGCGACAACACTCAGGGATCGTATTACGTGCAGCTCCCCGACGGCCGCCTGCAGAAGGTGACGTACTACGTGGACGGCGACAACGGATACGTTGCCGACGTGACGTACGAGGGCGAGGCTCGCTATGACTCGGTGGAGTCTCGCGAATACGTCCCACCTAGGCCTGTGTACTCCGCCCCCGAGTCCCAGGAGTCAGTTGAGACTCCCGTGTACAGCCCACCACGACCCCAGTATGCCGCCCCCAGGCGCTCTTACGGCTTCCCTCAGTAAGAAGAACAACGAAGCCTGATGACAATTGCGTCGAATAGAATATATCTATTTATTTATGGACATTAATTACATTAAAATCTCAATCAAGTGCTTTATTATTTTAACTTCCTATGAATGTGGCTAAACATAAATAAGAACCTAAGGTAATCTCAGAAGTATAAATTCACCCTAATTTTTCATTCGATGAATAGTAGTCTATTCATGTTTAACTGCATCTATTTCCTCTCTAAATCTACCCACGTGAATTGATATCAATTATTTTAATACCATTACATACATACACATATACGGACACATGTATGAATGCATATTATATGGAACCATTAATATTTGCAAACTATAAGAAAGTACATATAGCTTTTTCCTTCTCTGGCCCATAACACTACAACTTTGTTCTATTGACCTACAGTTTACCTTGCTTTACTTCCTGGAGAAAACTTTTTCACCCTTCCATTAAGTAAGATTTTCTAGTTCCAGTACTTCTCTTGGTCTACAGACATTTTTCAAATGCACTTAAAAACCAGGGGTATTTAATATATTTCAAGGATCTTTCAAGGGTTCAGTGGTTTATGATGACTCTAAGCAAATGTTATATGTGTTTATATATGTGCATATGTATATGTATATCTATCTATATAAATATACGCATTCACTTTTATAGAAATCTAAGGAATTTCATGCCAACCTTTTGAAGAATTAATGTATACTATAACACTATTAATTTCATTAAGTAAAGGTCATATGACGATACAAAACAGGTTTGTCCACCATGCAGTGATCCCATGTACTATTGGCCTTGTTTGTCGTAGTGCCTTCACAAGCAAGGAATTACACGGGGTTGTTTCGCCGATATTGCCTTTAAGAAAATATCCAAATTTGTTGCACAAAATGGTTAACAGAAATGTACTGGGTGTGAGTTAAGTACATATCTATATACATTTTCTACTCTGAAATAAAAAGGATTTTCTGTATCTCAATTTCCCACTTTCTTATCGTAGATAATCATGATCGATATCTGGTGCTCCTTCTCACTGTGGACGGCATGTCGCTAGTTAGCTACCTGAACTGCAGCTTTCCATTTCGGTCAGATTAATTTATAATACACTCAGTTCTGTTGTGATGAGCTAAAGCTTACCGAACCATGCCTAAGTAAAGAGAAAATTGCAAACGGAAAGAGCCCGGAACATGAGTATATATATATATATGTTCTGTAAAAAAGTGCTGGTGGCAGAGAATTGGGCAAAAACGTCATGAAAGAGGGATTGGGGTTGTCCTTATTTCCAACAAAGGGAACAAAACTATTGTGATTTAAAAACTGTATCAAATGGGGCTTAATGATTATAAAAGAACACATTCTAAGCTAAATGACATTGTAAATACAAACATATGTATATATATACACATATACACACATACATATGTATACATCCATATAAATAACTGCATACATACAACGCAGACACTCACACACACACACACATACACACACACATATATATATATACATACATACATATATAAACATACATACATGTACATTTATACATATATATATTTTATATACATCAATATATTTTATATACATCAATATATATACATATATGTATATAAAGACACATATGTTTTCATATATATATGTATATATAGATGTATATAAAAATAAATATACAATTATATGTATACATGATAATATGCATGCTTATATATATATATATATATATATATATAGATAAATGTACTGCATATTGTTTATATACGGTTGAATGAATGTGTATATATGTGTGTATTTGTATACATATATAAATAATATATCTATATATGTATATATATGCAAAATTATATATATATATGTATATCATATGTGAATATGTATATATATGCATATATATATTGTATATATACATACACTTATATATGTATACATATGAATATATGATATATATATATGTAAAATATATACATACACATATATTTCTTTTATATATCTATACGTTTGTTTATCTCACTATATATTTTGTATAAATATTTAGATGGATAGAGACAGACAGACATAGAAAAATAATAGATAAATGCATAATATATATATAATTATATGTATATATATTTCTGTATGCATATATTTGTGTAATTGATGTAATAAGATACTCGTACATATATATGAGAGAAATTGACAATAACAGCCAAACCAGAACGATTTTGGAGGAAGTAGAAAAACAAAAAGGCAGGCATGTAGGTCAGTACTGGTGAGCGGGTCATCTCGAAGGCAATCCAGGGAGGGGCTATCCTGTGACGTCATTAGACTGCGCATAAAGGCGAGCGTTCCAGACAGGGAGCCACAGTCAACAGCAGAAGCGGATTCAACATGAACGCAAAGGTAATACCAACCTTTCGTTTAAAAGTCAGTTCTTCAGAGATTTCAATGCGGGTGTTAGAATTTTGCATTGTTGATCGTTGTTAGAATGTGATTTTGAAAAGTCATGAAATAAGTACATTTGTATTTCTTCTTACTAAGATGCTGTTCTCTTTACCAGGTACTAATTGCATTGGCTTTGGTCGCCGTGACTGCCGCCGATAAGCTCCCAGCTTACTCTTACTCTGCACCACAGGTTTGTGTCTAGTTCAGACTCACTGAAATATATTTGACGAGTACATAGTCATTTTCTCCAGAGACAAATAGCATTTTATGGAAGGCCAATATAGGCTATGTATACTTAGAAGGGTAAAGTATCAGTCCTTCGATGAAAGTATGGCTGAAAGTACAGCTAATGATTTTACTTTAGATTGTTTATAACCTCTAGTCAACATATTTTCAACAGCAAAGACTTTAGAGCGGTTGAACGTGAAAGAATTTTTCTAAAACTCTTTATCTCTGAAGGGATCTTTCGAAGACTCAGTGGAGTATGATGATGCCAAGTACGACTTCAACTGGGCTGTGAAGGACGACGACTCCGGTAACGACTTCGGCCACCAGGAGTCCCGCGACGGCGACAACACTCAGGGATCGTACTACGTGCAACTCCCCGACGGCCGCCTGCAGAAGGTGACGTACTACGTGGACGGCGACAACGGATACGTTGCCGACGTGACGTACGAGGGCGAGGCTCGCTATGACTCGGTGGAGTCTCGCGAATACGTCCCCCCTAGGCCCGTGTACTCCGCCCCCGAGTCCGACGAGTCAGTTGAGACTCCCGTGTACAGCCCACCACGACCCCAGTATGCCGCCCCCAGGCGCTCTTACGGCTTCCCCCAGTAAGAACAATGAAGGCCAATGACTAGCGTCGTCTAACGGAATGTAGCTATTTATTTATGGACATTATTTGCAATAAAACAAGACTCTACTGTTTGTATTTATATTTTACCATCGACGGATGCTCCTATAAATAAAACTATTGATGATCCCAAAGAGATCAAGCAAGACTGAACGGAAGTTAAACAGGAAACTTCACATAGTCATCTGTAATGTCATGAAACAGGTTATATTTCTCTCGTATTTATTTGTGGATGTGGAAACCATCCACAGGCCACGTATATACTAACACCAACACATTACTTATGTACAAGTTCACTCTGTGAATTTCAGTAAGTTAAACTCTTGATTGATGAACAGCATGCTTATTATTGGCATGGCATGTGCGTACAATAAAAATAAAAGAAGGAGTTTGATGCTATCGGATATCAAACTATCTAGTTAGATATAATAAACGAAAAAAAGAATAAGTAAAGATTATCAAAAACATACCCATATAGTATTTATAGACAAACAGACATATATGTATGTGTGCACACACATATATACACACATGTTCAACTCCCCCCCCACTCCAATACAGATACATTCACACACAAATATATATACATATATACATACACATAAATACACATACATTTATATGTATATATATATTCTGGGAATACTGACCGGAAAATAAGAAGTGAAAATAAAACCATCCATTTCTCAAGATATACATAGATAAATAGATATGTGTACACATACAGGCATACCTATATATATATACATATTGATATTTATAGATATAGAAATATAGAGAAATAAATATATTTACACATACACATACATTTATACATATATATATTTGTATGTATATATGTATATATATATATTTATATTTCTATAACTTTATATTAGGTATGTATATATGTGTGTGTGAGCACACATACATCTATAAACACGCATGTTCACATCTTCCCCGCACTTACATATATATACACATACACACACACATACACCTATACAGATACATTCATATGTATATGCATTTCTATATATACATATAGAAATAAAAAGAAAAATCAATATATAAATATACATATACAAACATACATATATATACATATATATTTATTCATATATGCATATATACTTATACATATATAAATAAAAAGATAAAAAATAAATATATACAAACATATGTATACGCACAGCTATATATATATCTATATACATATAAATGACAGACACACATACGCATATATATATATGACAGACACCTATATATACATACACATATGTGAGTGTGAGTATATATAGCATATACATCTATATATACACACACGTATGTATATGTATATGTACATACGTACACAGACACACACATATATATACACGCACACACATATTTATATACAGCTGTATTAAGACCCTGTGTAGATATATAGTTATATGTGTATTTATATCTTTAGGCAAAATATATGCAGTATACATGTATATATGTGTGTGTTTAGATAAATATGCATGTGTATATATCATTCATGTATATGTTAGCATGCGTATGTGTAGACGTATACGGGCACATAAACATAAATAGAGACATGGACACCTAAGAAGATTTTCGAAACACTATATGAGAAAGAGAAGGGCGTAAGAAATGAAAATAATTAGATACAACAAAATAATGCACCAGTCAAAGAGGAGTGTACATTTAGTGAAAGCATTTAACATTGCTTAAATTCACAAAATATATTCTGGAACAGTGACGAATCTCGAGGGAAAAGAAAAAAAATCAGGGTTTTGTAAGGAATCAGCCTTGGCCTTGGTATTCAAACACGCACATCTAGGGGCTTGGTTGGTATGGCCTAGTTGGTGAAGGGGGCCGGAAGTGGTTGTAAAGAGGAAAGGGGAAGAGGGAAGGTAAGAGAGGGATAGAGCGAGAAAGAGAGAATAGGGAGAGAAAAGAAGGCAACGCAGTAAACAAAACAACATAAAAATCAACGCAGTAAGAAGAAAAAAATGAAAGTCGAAAAGCGCAAGGTTTTTTCCGGATGTAACATAGAAGGGTGACGTCACGTGGCTCGTAATATAAGTACACTCGATTGCCTTCCTTGGTCAGTTGTGTGTGAAACAAGTCTTCAAAATGAACACTAAGGTGTGTGGCCGTTTGATCTGAGAGTGGTGCTTAATGCAAATATTCATATGATTATTCCAGACTTAAAAGTCTTGCGTTATTATAATACTATGTGTCTGCAGGTCTTGTTCTTGCTCGGTGTGGTGGCTGTGGCTGCTGCAGATAAGCTGCCGACCTACTCCTACAGCGCCCCACAGGTAAATGGTATTGGACACGGAAACATACACTATCGGTATACTCCACAAGGCATAATTCCTTTCAAGACTTCCAGTGAATATGTATTGGTAATCATGTTCCTTTAGAAAGTACTATAGTGTTATAGAATTTATATCAAGTGTTGACTGTAAAGTGTGTACATTTTAGGGATCTTTGGAGGACTCAGTGGAGTATGATGATGCCAAGTACGACTTCAACTGGGCTGTGAAGGACGACGACTCCGGTAACGACTTCGGCCACCAGGAGTCCCGCGACGGCGACAACACTCAGGGATCGTACTACGTGCAGCTCCCCGACGGCCGCCTGCAGAAGGTTACCTACTACGTGGACTGCGACAACGGATATGTTGCCGACGTGACGTACGAGGGCGAGGCTCGCTATGACTCGGTGGAGTCTCGCGAATACGTCCCCCCAAGGCCCGTGTACTCCGCCCCCGAGTCCCAGGAGTCCGTTGAGACTCCCGTGTACACCCCGCCACGACCCCAGTATGCCGCCCCCAGGCGGTCTTACGGCTTCCCTCAGTGAGGAATGATAACCAAAACTAATGACCAGTTGCGTCGAACGGAATGTAACTATTTATTTATGGACATTACATTAAAAGCTCAATCAAGTACTTTGTTTTATCATTTGCCGATGAACTGTGTTCCATTCATATTTAACTACATTCATTTCCTGTCTATATCTACCCACATGAATTAATATCCAATCCTTTTTTAATACCATTGCATAATACACATAAGGGCACATGCATGTATGCATGATGTATGGAATATTTGCACACAAGAAACTACGTATAGCCCATTCCTTCTCTGGCCCGCTACACTACAACTTTGTTCTATTGACCTACAGCTTACCTTGCTTTACTTCCCGGAGAAAACTTTTTCACCCTTCTATTAAATAAGATTTTACTACTTACAGTGCTCCTCTTGGTATAAAGACATTTTTCAAATGCACTTAGATACCAAGGGTATCTTATATATTTCAAGGATTTTTTTTTAGAGGGTTCAGTGGTTTATGATGAAGCCAAACACATGGCAATGTGTTGACTACGTTATATGTATTTATATATACATACATATATATATATCTATGTCTCTCTGTATACACATTCAGTTTTATAGAAATCTAAGAAATTTCATGGCAACCATAGTATATATTAACCTAAGTTAATATATACTAAAACAGTGCTCTTAGTTTAATTAAGTTAAGGTTATATTATAATACAAAACAGGTTTGTCCACCATGTAATGATCCCATGTACTATTGGCCTTGTTGGTAGTGTAGTCACAAACAAGGAATTGCAGGAGGTCGTTTCGCCGATATCACCTTTGAGAAAATCAAATTTCTTTCACAAAATAGTTCAACAGAAATGTACTGGCTGTGTGTTAACAATATATCTATATACAGTTTCTACTCTGAAATAAAAATAAATTTCTGTATCTCAATTTCCCATTTCCTTATTGTAGATAGTCATGATCGATATATCTGGTGCTCCTTCCTGGTGCTTCTCACTGTGGACGGCATGTCGCTTGTTAGCTACCTGAACTGCAGCTTTCCATTTCGGTCAGATTAATTTATAATATACTAATATACTAAGATGAAATTGCAAACTGAGAGAGCCCAGAAAGTATATATATTTCTTTTTCATGGAAAATTGCTGGTGGCAGAGAATTGGGCAAAAGCGTTATGAATAGGATTGGGGTTGTCTTTTATTTCCAACAAAGGCAGTAATAAACATAATGTGATTTAAAAAGTAACAGCATTTCTCTACCAAATGAAACTTAATAATGATAAAAGAACACATTCTAAGCTAAATGGCAGTGCAGATACAAGCACATGCATGTATATATATACATATGTATACACACATACACATACATATGTACACATCCATATATATAACTACATACATTCAGATACAAACACACTCATATATATACATATATACATATGTACATACATACATACATACATACACACATACACATACACACACACACACACACATATATATATTTATTTATTTATACACATCTATATATACACACACATATATATATATATATATATATATATATATATATATATAATTGAATAAATATATACACCCGCGCAAATATATATATATATATATATATATATATATATATATATGTATATATACACACATATATATACATATATACATATATATGCATGCATATATGTATGTATATATAGATGTATATAAAAATAGATATACATATATATACACATTTATGCGTATGCACATATATGTATGCTTATCCATATACATACATACATATCTATGTATCTATACATATATATATATACATATATATGTATATACATATATATATATAGTTTATATGCAGTTATATGGATTTGTCTGTATGCATATATATATGTATAGACTATACATTCATATATGTGTATATATATATATATATATATATATATATATATATATATATGTATATATATATATATATATATATATATGTATATATATATATATGTATTTGTGTGTGCGTGTGTGTGTGTGTGTGTGTGTATGTGTGTATAAATATATATTCACGTATATCTAATATGTCTATGTACATTTACATTTCTATGCACGTATGTATGTGTATATATACATATATGTATATATACTGTATATATACATATACATCTATATATGTAAATATACATGAATATGTATGTATATTTACATACATTTATCTATGTAATTATATATGAATATATATGCATATATATATATATATATACATACACATATATTTTTTATATACATCTACATATACCTATCTCACTATACATTTTGTATATATAGTGAAAGGGAGATATAGAGAAAGATACAGAAAAACAGAGAAAAGTAATAGATAAATACACACAAAATATATATACGTAATTATATGTATGTATTTATGTATATACATATATGTACGTAATTGATGTAATAAGATATTCGTACATGTGTCTAAAGAGAAACTGACAATAATTACCAAGTCAGAACGGTTTTTTGGGAAAAAGAAGAAAAGGCAGGCATGTAGGTCAGTACTGGTGAGCGGGTCATCTCGAAGGCAATCCAGGGAGGGGCTATCCTGTGACGTCATCAGGCTGCGCATAAAAGCGAGCGTTCCAGACAGGGAGCCACAGTCAGCAACGGAAGCGGATTCAACATGAACGCAAAAGTAATACTGACTTTTCGTTTAAGAATCTGTTCTTCACTGCGAGTGTTAGAATTTTGCTGATATCATTTTCCTCTATGGATTGTGATATATATTTGGATTTCTGATGAAACTATAATTCTCTTTGCCAGGTATTGATTGCATTGGCTTTGGTCGCCGTGACTACCGCCGATAAGCTCCCAACTTACTCTTACTCTGCACCACAGGTTTGTGTCAAATTTAGGCTCACTGAAATTTATAGTCTTTTTCTCCAGAGACAAATAGCATTTTATGGAAGGCAAACATGGTTAGGCTGTTTACATTGAAGTATAAAGTATCAATCCTTCGTTGAAAGTATGGCTGAAAGTACAGCTAATGATTTTATTTTAAATTGTTTATAACCTCTAGTCAATATATTTTAAACAGCAAAGACTTGAGAATGGCTCACAGGAAAGATTTTTTTTCTAAAACTATTTGTATCTCTGAAGGGATCTTTCGAAGACTCAGTGGAGTATGATGATGCCAAGTACGACTTCAACTGGGCTGTGAAGGACGACGACTCCGGTAACGACTTCGGCCACCAGGAGTCCCGCGACGGCGACAACACTCAGGGATCGTACTACGTACAGCTCCCTGACGGCCGCCTGCAGAAGGTGACGTACTACGTGGACGGCGACAACGGATATGTTGCCGACGTGACGTACGAGGGCGAGGCTCGCTATGACTCGGTGGAGTCTCGCGAATACGTCCCCCCAAGGCCCGTGTACTCCGCCCCCGAGTCCGACGAGTCAGTTGAGACTCCCGTGTACACCCCACCACGACCCCAGTATGCCGCCCCCAGGCGCTCTTACGGCTTCCCTATATATTATACATACACATATATTTTTTTATATACATCTACATTATACCTATCTCACTATACATTTTGTATATATAGTGAAAGGGAGATATAGAGAAAGATACAGAAAAACAGAGAAAAGTAATAGATAAATACACACAAAATATATATACGTAATTATATGTATGTATTTATGTATATACATATATGTACGTAATTGATGTAATAAGATATTCGTACATGTGTCTAAAGAGAAACTGACAATAATTACCAAGTCAGAACGGTTTTTTGGGAAAAAGAAGAAAAGGCAGGCATGTAGGTCAGTACTGGTGAGCGGGTCATCTCGAAGGCAATCCAGGGAGGGGCTATCCTGTGACGTCATTAGACTGCGCATAAAAGCGAGCGTTCCAGACAGGGAGCCACAGTCAGCAACGGAAGCGGATTCAACATGAACGCAAAAGTAATACTGACTTTTCGTTTAAGAATCTGTTCTTCACTGCGAGTGTTAGAATTTTGCTGATATCATTTTCCTCTATGGATTGTGATATATATTTGGATTTCTGATGAAACTATAATTCTCTTTGCCAGGTATTGATTGCATTGGCTTTGGTCGCCGTGACTACCGCCGATAAGCTCCCAACTTACTCTTACTCTGCACCACAGGTTTGTGTCAAATTTAGGCTCACTGAAATTTATAGTCTTTTTCTCCAGAGACAAATAGCATTTTATGGAAGGCAAACATGGTTAGGCTGTTTACATTGAAGTATAAAGTATCAATCCTTCGTTGAAAGTATGGCTGAAAGTACAGCTAATGATTTTATTTTAAATTGTTTATAACCTCTAGTCAATATATTTTAAACAGCAAAGACTTGAGAATGGCTCACAGGAAAGATTTTTTTTTCTAAAACTATTTGTATCTCTGAAGGGATCTTTCGAAGACTCAGTGGAGTATGATGATGCCAAGTACGACTTCAACTGGGCTGTGAAGGACGACGACTCCGGTAACGACTTCGGCCACCAGGAGTCCCGCGACGGCGACAACACTCAGGGATCGTACTACGTACAGCTCCCTGACGGCCGCCTGCAGAAGGTGACGTACTACGTGGACGGCGACAACGGATATGTTGCCGACGTGACGTACGAGGGCGAGGCTCGCTATGACTCGGTGGAGTCTCGCGAATACGTCCCCCCTAGGCCCGTGTACTCCGCCCCCGAGTCCGACGAGTCAGTTGAGACTCCCGTGTACACCCCACCACGACCCCAGTATGCCGCCCCCAGGCGCTCTTACGGCTTCCCTCAGTAAGAAGAACAACGAAGGGCAATGACTAGTGCTGTCGAACGGAATGTATCTATTTATTTATGGACATTATTTGCAATAAAACAAGACTCTACTGTTTGTATATATATTTTGCCATCGACGGATGCTCCTACAAATAAAAATAATGATGATCTCAAAGAGATCAAGCAAGAATGAGCAGAAATTAAACAGGAAGCTTCACATAGTCATCTGTAATTTCATGAAACAGGTTAAATTTCGCTCGTATTTATCTATCAATGTGGAAGCCATCCGGATCCTGAATTATCTAAATGTATGCAAATATATATGTGTGTATTTATACACATTTGAATCTATGCATATATATCTAGAAAAGGCATTAATGGGAATTAATATCTTCACAATACAAGAGATATATCTGACCGGTTCCGATTATATCTTAGTCAGAAATACTATAATATACATTCGAAACCGGTCAAATGCATATCTCGTATTGTGGAGATATTCCCAATCATATATTTTCTACATTTGTCATATATATGAGTGTGTATTCACTTCCTTTCCCTTTATGCATATATACGTATATAGGCACACACGTATGTATATTTATATCTATACATATGCATACATACACGCGTTATATATATATACACACACACACACGTGCGTGTGTATACATACACATGTACATGTGGCTGAATATACGAATATATATAACACGCATGTATATATATAATTATTATATACATATATATATATATATATATATATACATATACGCACATGAACACCCACACACACACACGTTTGTGTGTATGTATATTCACCCCGTTCCCCCACACAGATGTATATATATATATATGCGTATGTGTGTATACATGCACATGTACATACGTGTGTACATGTGGATGTATATACGCGTATGTATATGCACAAAAAAGACACATGTATGTATATTATATTATATGTGTATATATATACACACATATGCACATACACACACGCACACATACACACACACACACGCACACACAATCACACACACATACACATATGTGTGTGTATATATATATATATTTGTGTTTTTGTAAAATTTAGGCGTATATAGAATATGTTTACTGCAAAGTATATACAGTATACATATATACACACCAAGTATATATATGTATACATACACACATATTTCTCTCTCTATATATATGTATGATTGCTAGACGAGAACACTACCAGTGCACCAGACAGCACAGTATGGAGCAGAGATTGAAAATGAGTAACTGAATATGATAAAACTAAAAACAAATCACTCAGAGATAGCTGGATTTAATGTATCACTTACACACATTACATATTTAATGGAAGAGTAACGAATTTTCAGGAGGAAAAAATCTAGGTTTTAGAAGGAATCAGCATAAACTTTGATTTTCGAAGACGTACAACTCGGAATTTTATATGACCCAGGTGGTGGAGTGGGGGGCGGGGGTGGCAGAGAAAGTGAGTGATGAAGAGGAAGAGAAGCAGGTAAGGAGGTTGGAATGAGAGGATAAAAGAGACGGAGAGAAAGAGAGAGATAGTAGCTTAGAGAGGGAGGGGGATGGAAAGAGAAAGGAGTAACAAAGCAACAAGTGAAAAGGAAACATGAAAATCGAGAAGCGCAACATTTTTCCGGGTGACGTCACGTGGCTCACAATATAAACAAGCTGGGTTGTCTACCATGGCCAGTTGTGTTAATCAGATCTCCAGAATGAACACTAAGGTCTAGCCATTTTGGTCTAAGAGTGGGGCAATATGAAATTATACGAGTCATTTGAGACTCTTGTGTACACCCCCGAGTCCCAGGAGTCCGTTGAGACTCCCGTGTACACCCCACCACGACCCCAGTATGCCGTCCCCAGGCGCTCATACGGCTTCCCTCAGTGAGGAATGATAACCATGGCCGATGACCAGTTGTGTCGAACGAAATGTATTGATTTATTCATGGACATTATTTGCAATGAAATCCTATTGTGCTACATGCATTTCTATTTAGCCATCGTCTCAGGAAACAAATAATGGTGACCCGAAAGACACAACCAAACTGATCAATTTCACAAACACTTCTGGAAACTCACACATCCGCTCTCCCACCAAACTATCACATTTGTTCAGACCCACACTATATATTTTAGTAGCTTAATGGACTAGTTAATGGATACGTTAATAAACATTGCATAAAGTACACATGTATGTTTCAAATATGTGTATATGATGAAGGTATAGAGAGGATTTCAAAGCAATTTGGCTTTAAATTAATAGTTAGAGGGAGAGTTAGAGAGAATGCAAATTCTGAAGGCTTGATATAAGGTTCTTTACTTGTTTTCCAGGAATAATGACTGGAAAATAAGAAATGAAAATAAAATCATCCATTTCATACGCACACATATAGAAAGGAAAAATATACGCATATTGTAAAGATAAATCTATATAAATCCAAATATATACAATGTATACTATATAAGGTATACATATGTACAAATATGTATCTATATACGTATATATGTGTGTACATATACATGTACATATGTATGTGCATATATATGTGTGTATGTTTATATATTATATGTAAAGAGAGATATCGATATATATTTGTGTACATCTCTAGGCATATACAGAGTATATACAGTACACATAATTTACAGTATATGTGTATATATACACATGTACATGTACACACAGTATAATAGATGCATATATTTATAAAGACAAGCATTAATTTACAGTAATACTGGCGTGCGCGCAGATACACTTTCGAAACGCTGGATGATAAACAGGAGAGCAACGGAATAGAAATAAACAAGATAATGCAAAATAACGAGTCGTAAACAAACAACAGTAGAAAATTTAATAAAAAAAACATTAAATGCATCAAATAATCCCTGGAAACCGCGACGAATCAAAAAAAAAAAAAAAAAAAAAAAAAAGGTTTTGAAGGAAACAGCCTCGACCTTGGCATTCAGGCAGACACACAGCTGGTAGGTTAAGTGGCTAGGGGTGGTGAGAGAGAGAGAAAGAAAGGAAGGGTAATGGGTGAATGAAAGATAGAGAGGAGAGAATGAAGAAAAAGTTCGAGTAAGAGAGAGTAAAAGAGTGAATGACAGGGGGAGGGGGCGGGAAGAAACAAAGAAAAAGAAAGGCAAAAAGAGAAAAGAACAAGGGCGAAAAGCGCGACATTTTCCGGGTGTAATAAATATGATTGACGTCACTTGTCTCACAATATAAGTACATTCGATTGCCTCCTCTGGTCAGTTCTGTGTAAACCAAATCTACGAAATGAACACTAAGGTGAGTCGCCTTTTGTTCTCAAGAGTTCTTTGCTTTTTCGCAGGAAATGCCGATATATAATATTTGATCGTTTGATAAATCTATTGGAGATCGTAGCGTAGAAAGATTGTAATGTAGAAAGATTGTAAGGTATCCGAAGCGGCGACAGAGACCTGGAGTCAAGCTGTTGAATCGGGCAAGACTCTTCCTGACTAAGAAAAGGCATGTTTTGTTATCACAAGGCGTTCTTGCAGGCCCTCCTCTTGCTCGGCGTGGTGGCTGTGGCTGCTGCAGATAAGCTGCCGAACTACTCCTATAACGCCCCACAGGTGAGTTTTGGACAGACATCCTAATATCCATTATCAATGGACTTCCAAAGATGTGATCAATTTGATTTCCATTATTGCTGATGTTTTGTAGTAAATTGCATCAAGCATTATTAGCATTGAGATCCATTGCTAAATGAATCAGAAGTACGTGTAATTTCAGGGATCTTTCGAGGATTCAGTGGAGTATGATGATGCCAAGTACGACTTCAACTGGGCTGTGAAGGACGACGACTCCGGCAACGACTTCGGCCACCAGGAGTCCCGCGACGGCGACAACACTCAGGGATCGTACTACGTGCAGCTCCCCGACGGCCGCCTGCAGAAGGTGGCGTACTACGTGGACGGCGACAACGGATACGTTGCCGACGTGACGTACGAGGGCGAGGCTCGTTATGACTCGGTGGAGTCTCGCGAATACATTCCTCCCAGGCCCGTGTACTTCGCCCCCGAGTCCCAGGAGTCAGTTGAGACTCCCGTGTACATCCCACCACGACCCTAGTATGCTGCCCCCAGGGGCTCTTACGGGTTCCCTCAATAAATTCTTGCGCCAAAGACTTGTATTTCTAATGATTAATGATTAATTGGTAAGATTTTTTTTTTTTTTTTTTACTTATTTATGCACACTCCGACGTAAATAAAACTTAAACCTCTGAACTAATGGATTTAAATTCCCCAAACTGTTGTACCGCAGGAAAATTTACACACATACACAAACCGTAAGGGGAGAGCTGACAGGACTATATCCAGTATTCACACTAGAGCAAGAGCGAGGAGGAGGAGGAAGAGGTAGCTGTTACCTATGGTAGAGAATTAAACCTTTATTTCTATGATAATACTGAAGAAATAATGCTCGAAAATGAAGAATGTAAGTTTATCCCGAAACATGAAACTAATAAGAAATAATACCAGATAAAAATCAGAACGAGAACAAAAGAATAGCACTGGCCTGAAACAAAATACGCAGAAAAGACGTTTAATGGGTAGTTCTTTGTTCACCCTTGCAACATGACATCAACAGCGTACTATAATCGGGTAGATTTCAGATCTTTTGTATACCTGCAGCACAATTTCTTTGTAGAAACTCGTTTTTCGTAATGAAATGCTAAAGGAGGTTGCCATTGTGTAAGTGATGGACTTGATGGTGATACAGTCTACAGTCTGTTATTTCCATATAACAACCATAGTATGAGACACTGAATGTGGATTCGATCTTGGTTTACAAGTGCAATGAACATAGCACAATCCTTTGTAACATAACTGCCCTAGTATAAGAAAGCGGTTCGAAAACCTCAGTCTATTAATAAAAAAGAGAAAATCTACGATTGTGATAACATCAGCATACGTATCAAGCAGATGCAAAGAATACAAAGGTCAAGTCACTATCGAGTAGGAGACATTAATATTACTTTTATAACTGCAGCTTTTATTATTATTTTCAATCATTGTAGCTTTTATTATTGTTATTTCTTTTATCTTATTGCTAGATATTTTGGAGTCTACCTATTACTTTATCCCATCTAGGAGTAGAAAATTCCTTCGGTGGCGATCTCTGACTATGGTGTCCTGTCAGTAACTCCGGACATATATCCTCTACAAAAGGTTAACACAAAACACAGAAAAAAATATGATCATATCATTACAGCCGCCCTTACTTAAGGAGGAATATGCCATCACCTACAAAGCACACTAACAAAATTCAATCACTTCATGTTGCAGGACAATGTTAATACTTACTTTACCAGCTGCACCGTTAAGGATATTCCCTGTAATTACCACACTTACTGGATGTCACCTTTCGGACGGGATTATTTTTGTTGTCCAAAAGAAGTAAAGGTATTTTCATTTTAAATCCACTGGGTTCTGGACATTTGCAAAACCCAGTGTTTTCTTTTAGAAAACAAAAGAAATGCAAATTAGCATCAATATGTTGAGATTAGGAGAAAAAAGATGTAAAATGAAAAGCTAAAAACAAACAAACAAATCACACACACAAAAAAAACAACTGGGTGAATACATGCAGATCTCATAGATTACGAAAACAGATATCGACATTTAAAAGTTATTTATTATACACGAAAAAGGATTTTAAAAACCTGTTTAACGTCTAGATAATCATATAGTCATTAATAAATGGCAGATAGGAATGGAGGAATACAACAGTAAATTAGATAATAGCGAAAAATACAAAAAAAGATGAGAACTGGTACTTCGAGTTTGTATTCCGTCGAAGTGAAATGACTCAACAAAAGATTCCCTTAAAACAACTACAACGCAAGTAAAGTGACGGTAAAGACGAAATGAACGTCTGAAATGTTAACAAAAGCGTAGCCAAGTATTATTGAGAAACAAAATGACTTGTCAGTTAATTCCCTGACACAAAACAGCCAAAAAAAAAAAAAAACGTATAAAAAATACAAAATAAGATATAAGAGGAATGATGATTCTACTTATAACTGCGCTTCTCCAATACCAATGTAAATGAGATAAAATCAGAACGAGAACAAAAGAATAGCACTGGCCTGAAACAAAATACGCAGAAAAGACGTTTAATGGGTAGTTCTTTGTTCACCCTTGCAACATGACATCAACAGCGTACTATAATCGGGTAGATTTCAGATCTTTTGTATACCTGCAGCACAATTTCTTTGTAGAAACTCGTTTTTCGTAATGAAATGCTAAAGGAGGTTGCCATTGTGTAAGTGATGGACTTGATGGTGATACAGTCTACAGTCTGTTATTTCCATATAACAACCATAGTATGAGACACTGAATGTGGATTCGATCTTGGTTTACAAGTGCAATGAACATAGCACAATCCTTTGTAACATAACTGCCCTAGTATAAGAAAGCGGTTCGAAAACCTCAGTCTATTAATAAAAAAGAGAAAATCTACGATTGTGATAACATCAGCATACGTATCAAGCAGATGCAAAGAATACAAAGGTCAAGTCACTATCGAGTAGGAGACATTAATATTACTTTTATAACTGCAGCTTTTATTATTATTTTCAATCATTGTAGCTTTTATTATTGTTATTTCTTTTATCTTATTGCTAGATATTTTGGAGTCTACCTATTACTTTATCCCATCTAGGAGTAGAAAATTCCTTCGGTGGCGATCTCTGACTATGGTGTCCTGTCAGTAACTCCGGACATATATCCTCTACAAAAGGTTAACACAAAACACAGAAAAAAATATGATCATATCATTACAGCCGCCCTTACTTAAGGAGGAATATGCCATCACCTACAAAGCACACTAACAAAATTCAATCACTTCATGTTGCAGGACAATGTTAATACTTACTTTACCATCTGCACCGTTAAGGATATTCCCTGTAATTACCACACTTACTGGATGTCACCTTTCGGACGGGATTATTTTTGTTGTCCAAAAGAAGTAAAGGAATTTTCATTTTAAATCCACTGGGTTCTGAACATTTGCAAAACCCAGTGTTTTCTTTTAGAAAAAAAAGAAATGCAAATTAGCATCAATATGTTGAGATTAGGAGAAAAAAAGATGTAAAATGAAAAGCTAAAAACAAACAGACAAACAAATCACACACACAAAAAAACAACAACTGGGTGAATACATGCAGATCTCATAGATTACGAAAACAAAGATATCGACATTTAAAAGTTATTTATTATACACGAAAAAGGATTTTTAAAACCTGTTTAACGTCTAGATAATCATATAGTCATTAATAAATGGCAGATAGGAATGGAGGAATACAACAGTAAATTAGATAATAGCGAAAAATACAAAAAAGGATGAGAACTGGTACTTCGAGTTGTATTCCGTCGAAGTGAAATGACTCAACAAAAGATTCCCTTAAAACAACTACAACGCAAGTAAAGTGACGGTAAAGACGAAATGAACGTCTGAAATGTTAACAAAAGCGTAGCCAAGTATTATTGAGAAACAAAATGACTTGTCAGTTAATTCCCTGACACAAAACAGCCAAAAAAAAAAAAAAAAAAAAAAAAAAAAACGTATAAAAAATACAAAATAAGATATAAGAGGAATGATGATTCTACTTATAACTGCGCTTCTCCAATACCAATGTAAATGAGATAAATCAGAAGACAATGTAAAGCAAGATACGTACAAAGAAGTAGAGGAATATAAAGTATTTATGACCCAAGGCCGAAGACGTTGATGAAGAAGCAGGAGGAGGCGATAAAAGACGAGAAAGAAAGAGACGGAAAAGAAGAAGAAAAGGAACTAGGAAGAAGATGAGAGGAAGCGGAGAAAAAGAAAAGCATTAAGGAAACGCAGACCCGACGAGATCAAACCAGATGTGAGGTAAATCATCTCGACCCTGGCATTCAGGATGTGCCGTGAGAACAGAAGTCAGGAGCGCCCTTCAAGGAAAAAAAAGAAGTGTGAAGGGCAGCGAGTGGTCTGCTTTACATATCGGAAGTCCGGATGAGGCAAAAAAAAAACACTTTGTATTCCGTCGAAGTGAAATGACTCAACAAAAGATTCCCTTAAAACAACTACAACGCAAGTAAAGTGACGGTAAAGACGAAATGAACGTCTGAAATGTTAACAAAAGCGTAGCCAAGTATTATTGAGAAACAAAATGACTTGTCAGTTAATTCCCTGACACAAAACAGACAAAAAAAAAAAAAAAAAAAAAAAAAAAAAACGTATAAAAAATACAAAATAAGATATAAGAGGAATGATAATTCTACTTATAACTGCGCTTCTCCAATACCAATGTAAATGAGATAAATCAGAAGACAATGTAAAGCAAGATACGTACAAAGAAGTAGAGGAATATAAAGTATTTATGACCCAAGGCCGAAGACGTTGATGAAGAAGCAGGAGGAGGCGATAAAAGACGAGAAAGAAAGAGACGGAAAAGAAGAAGAAAAGGAACTAGGAAGAAGATGAGAGGAAGCGGAGAAAAAGAAAAGCATTAAGGAAACGCAGACCCGACGAGATCAAACCAGATGTGAGGCAAATCATCTCGACCCTGGCATTCAGGATGTGCCGTGAGAAACAGAAGTCAGGAGCGCCCTTCAAGGAAAAAAAAGAAGTGTGAAGGGCAGCGAGTGGTCTGCTTTTACATATCGGAAGTCCGGATGAGGCAAAAAAAAAACAAAAAAACAAGGGCCGTGACGTCACTGGGCACGGAGTATAAGTACGTAGACTTTCCTCGACCAGACATTGTTGTGTCAACCGAGTCTACACAATGAACGCTAAGGTTTGTGTGAATCTGGTCTCAATTTTATACTTTAAGAACTTTTTCATGTCCAGTTGTATATATTTTCTTTGCACAGAATTGAAAATCCAGGTACAGTGATAATCTGATATAGCAATTGTCTGGTATATATCAAGGCAGAAAATCAATACATGGTGCATAATCTCTCCGCAGGTCCTCATCTTGCTGGGTGTGGTGGCTGTTGCGGCTGCAGATAAGCTGCCGGCCTACTCTTACAGCGCACCTCAGGTGGGTTGTCTAAAATATGTGTATGTATATATACACA